AATTTAATTGTTAAATATGCTAAATTATATGGATTTGATATATCATTTTGTTATAATGAATATAATACAAAAGAAGAATTTGGAGGTAGGGATGTTCATGAACCTCCTAAAAAATATTTTAATATCCCGAATAGAATTTTGGATTTTAATTCATTATATCCTAGTTTGATGATGCAACATAATATATGCTTCACTACAAAATTAGAGGATAGTGAAGAGGAAGAGGGATGTCATGAGATATCATTTTATAATAAAAAAGGTAATCTTAAAACTGTCAGGTTTTCAAAAAAGAGAAAGGGTTTGATACCGATAATTTTAGATATGTTAGTCAAACAAAGGAAAGAAGCTAAAAAAAGTAAAAGTGAATATGAAAAATCAGATCCATTATTTGATTATTATCATATTTTACAAGATACTTTGAAAAAAATTGCGAATTCTATTTATGGACAATTTGGGAATCAACGTTCAATCATTTGTAATTATGATATATCTGCTGCAGTTACTGCTTATGAAAAAAAATACATTGGATTAGCTCAAGAATACATGAAAAACAAAGAGATTTTTGAATATGAGATTTGTAATTTAGTTAATGTAAAATACGTTAGGGAATATTCTGAAAAAAAGATAAAGAAATTTATTTGGAATTATACTGATACTGATTCAGTATTTTTTCAATTATCACCTTTGATAATAGATGAGATTATTAAAAAATATGAAGATAGATTATTGAACAGGAATTTAAATTTGGAAGAATACAGAAAAATAATATATGATATTCAAGAAGAGATGGTGATAATAACATATGATGAGAGTATAAAATTACAAGATGAGATAAATGAATAGATGGCTAAAGAGATTGGGTCACCAAGAATAGTCATGGAGTTAGAAAAGGTTGTGTGTCCTATTATATATTTTGCAAAGAAAAGGTATATTGGATTGAAATTTGAAAAACGAAAATATTATTTTGATGATAATTGGAAAGAATTGGAAAAACATATTAAAGAACAATTGGGTGAAAAAAAATTAACAGATGATATGATATCTGATTATATTGAAAAAACTGATGAACATATTCTTTTAGCGAATGGTACAAAATTTGAAAATATGTTGAAGAAAGGAATAGATTTAGTTAGAAGAAATTCTACTCTTATATCTCATATTATTTTAAAAAAATTGTTTTATACGATATTTGACTATAAAAAATACGCTACGTATTTGTACAATTTAAATTTTACAAATATAAAACAATATCAAGATTTTTTTAATAGATTTGATAAAGAACATGATTGGACAGAGTACATAAGTAAAAAAGAAGTTGAAGATTTTATTAAATATTTATATGATAAGGAATCGAATTTGAATTTGGAATTTTTTGAACAAAATGGAAAGAATAATGATGACGAGGAAGAAAAAATAACATTTATCGAATTACTTGAACACAAGAGTTACAAGAATGGATATTGGGATGTTACAGATGATGGAAAGATTGTTCTTTATGAGATTCAGTACGAGATTATAAAAGATAAAAAGGGAAAGGAAAAAAGAGGAAAAATGATTGATTTTAAAGATGTTGATAGAACAAAATTAAAGATAATCGATTTTAATAAAAGGAGAGAGGGACAAAAGGATTGGAAACGATCTGATGAGGATTTTGTATATTATAATGATGAATCAGAAGAAATTGATAAAGGTGAAATAGATGAATTGGAAGATATGGAGAAAGAATTAGAAGAGGAAGAGATAGATGAATTGTCCAAATCTCAAAAAATAATTAAAAGATTTCGTGAAACAATATTGAAACAGGTAAAAGATGAGACGACTTCGATGGTTAAAAATTTTAATACTCGTATGAAAATGTTGGGTATAGAGGTTAGGAAACCACGTTTTCCATATTATGTATTGTATATACATGATGAAGATAAAGTTTATAATCGTATGAAGTTAACACATTTGTTTGATCCCAAAAAAGATAGGATTGATAAATTTCATTATATAAAAAGTCTTAAATCTATTATGGCTGTTTTGATAGGGTGCACAGAAAAAGAAGCTAAAAAATGGCTTGAGGATATGAGTAATAGATATACGAATAAAAGACTTGACGAAGGTATAGATTTATCAAATAATAAAAAGGGAAAGAGGAAAAAAGAATTTGAAATATTAATTCCTCAAAAACAATTCAAGATTACAAAATATTTTACTGTTGATAAAAATCCAGAATATGATCCATTTGAATAGAGTTTTTGTATTTTTTAATAATATATATTTATTTATTTAATTTAATGATGGTTCTACATTAACAGTATCAAAATTTAAATTTAAATTTTCTAATAAAGTACTATTACTATTTAACATTATTGATTCAAAGTATTCTTTGATTTCATCAGAAGTTTTGACACCGGTTATATAATTCATAACAATATTATCCATATTGGTTATAAGATTTTGAATAATGTTGTAATCGTTATCAATTAATTTTTTCATGTTATAAATTGTCACGTTATTTTTAAGTGTATGAAAGTTTTCAGAAGTCATTTTTTCCTTTTTCAAAGTATTAATTTCTTTTTGTAATTCCAATATGGTAGTATCGTCATTTTCTTCTTTCTTTTCTTTGAGTGATATTATTTCATTAGATAAGACAATATTTTTTTCGTTTAAATTATTGATCTTATCTTTGTATTCATCTATTTTTTTATGTAAATCGTCAATTGTTGATTCCAAGTTTTTAATTTTTATTTCTCTTTCACTTATCAAGTGATCCAAAGAAGATTTAATTTTTTCGATATCTTTTATGGTTATATCTTTTTCTTTTGTTTTTTTATTATTGTTAAGTTTACCTTTAATTGAAATTAATTAGATTTTTTTGAATTGAAAGGAAATTTAACATATTGATACATACTAAAAATATTAAATATAGTTATTAGTAATTTAGATAATAAATGTTAATTAATAATATATTCGAATCACATACCGTTTTTTTTGTGTATCATCAACATTATCCATTTTGAAAAAGATTGTTAAATTTTAATGATGTTTTATTATTAATATATGAGAAACAAATTAATAATTAATTTATTTATTTAAATGACATATTTTACAATCCATAAAATTAAAATTAATACAAGAAATAAAAATGTCTTCTCAAGATGATGAAAATACTTATAGTGATAAAGTAAATTATCTTGTTATAGAAGATGGACGTATATTTAAAAAATTTAATAAGAATAATCCCCTTACGCAAAAAGCTTATTATGGCAATGAACGAGAAATTCTTACAGATGCTTCTACTATTCAAGAATTTAATTGTCAAGTGGATAATGAAAGAAAAAACTATGAAAAAGTTAATGTGTATTGTGTAATGATACAAAATAAAGATAAGATTAAAAATATTACAACATCTTACGCTGTAGCTGAAGGTCAAGATTGGTCTAGAATTTTACATGTAACTGCTGAAACTAATGATGGTTTTGAAGTTTTATATAGATTACTGATTTCCGTATCTAATAAAGTAGAATTTAAGGGAAAATGTATTAATGTTATTTGTAGAGGTAATGTGAGATTTAGATATAATGTAAAATATATGATTTATCGTTGGGTTAAGAGTGATTTTAAAAAAGGTAATGATATAATTGGAATGAAAGGAGAGGATGGAGGAGATATTGCACATTCTTATTATATTAAAGAATTGGATAAAATCATGAGAGAAAATAATATTAAATTTGATGCAGAGTTAGATCTTGCAAATATTGATAGAGTGAATGATTATTTTAGTAGATTTATACTAGTGATTAATCCCAAAAACAGATTTAAACCATATTAAAAAATTATAAGTTATTATTATTTAAATTAAATATATTTTTATTATTAACTTTTTTATTTTATATAATATCTATTATTTTTATTAATAAATTAAATTTATATTGAAAATATTTATAATTAATCATAATTATTTAAATAAATTTTTTAAATTATATCTACTTGATAGTTTTGATGTTTATATTGAACTTCCTGGTCTAGATGACGATCCTTCTTGAGGATCATCTTGTAATCTAGATATGATTATCAGAGATGGTGATCTAGAATGTTCTTGAGAATCTGGTATAATTATTCTAATATTATCTTGTATTGAAATATCTGGAGTAATTACTTCCTTTCTTGAGATTTGAACTCCATGTGCTTGATTTTCCTTTATTTTTTTTTCAGTTATTTTCTCAAATTCATTTGGTGTGATATCAAATAAATCACTATAATCATTATTTTCATCTTCTTTTTCAGAATCACTTAAACTATATCTTGTACTAGAAACCAAACTAATTTGTGAAGGACTTCTTTCGATACTTTGAATTTCTTCTATTTCTTCTATGCCACTATCTGATTCATTATTATTATCAGAATCAGATTCGTAAGTATCAACTATATCAGTATCGTATTTTAAGTTTTTATTAGATTTTCTATTATCAGATTTACGTTTTCTTTTATTTAATTTAGTTTCTACATCGAATGTTAATGCTTGTCTACTTCTAGGTTCATGTTTAGCTTTACCTAATATTCCACTGTCATGAGAATGTATAAACATATCACTCATGAAATTACCAGAGTTTGATGTTGATGATGATTCTTCTATTAATCCTATAGGGTTTGAGACATGTATTGCTCTTCTATGTTGTATCATGAATCTTTCTGCTTGTTGAGATTCGATAAATCTTTGTAATATTTCTTGTTGATTTATGTTAAGATTATCGATTGTATCTTGTATGTTATTTCTGAGATTCATAAACATTTCGTTAAATTCTCTGTCTCTGTCATTTATTCTGGTTTGAAGATTTAAAGATGCGATTGCTTGTGTTTTTATGGTATTAGTAATTCTGTCTAATCTGATTCCAAATTCATCAATATTTAGATTTCTGATTTTTCAGATGTCGTTGATTACTTCACCTATTCTTTTGTCTACAGTGTTTATGGATCTAGCTATGTTTTCATTATCAATATTTCCTAATCTGTTATTAATTACTCGATTTAAGTTATCGAGATTTCGATTTATATTTGTATTGATCATACCAAAATGATTATTGATGTTTTTATCAATATTATTAAATTTGTTATTTATATTATCAATGTTAGTATTTATTTTTCTCAAATTAGTATTAAGAAATTGATCCAAGGTATTAAATCTTTGTTCTGTATTAGTATTGATTCTTTTGAAACTTTGATCAATATTATCGAATCTATTATTTGTATTGGTCAATATGTTATTAATATTTTGATTTAAAACATCGAGTTTATCATTTGTATTGATAAATCTTTGTTTTAATCCAGTAAGTTGATTTATTATGTTTTGATTTGATTTCGCTTGTTGATTTTGTTGATTTAATATATTTCTGTTCATCCTATCTATCACAGTTTCTAATTGCATTTCTGATTGTCTTAGAAAATTATATAATCTTTGATCACGAGTTTGAAGTTGATTTTGTAGATTTTGAATAGGTTGTATTATTCCATTATTTTGAGGAGCTAATTCATAAGGTATTCCATTATTTTGAGGTCCAGGTGTTTTTGGTATATTAGGAGGTAGTGGAGGTCTAGGTCCACGTGGATGATTTGGAGGGTGAGGTAATCCATTATTAGGTATTTTTAGTAATGGAGGTCTGAGAGGACGTCCAATCCCTACATTTAGTGGTATTAGTATGTTGTTTTCTAGATGCCATAATCTTAATTCTCTTGTAGATTTTATTATTCTTGGATTTATACATAGTTGTACTCTACCATTTTGATATGGACATTGAGGATCATTTCGGTTATGATTTTCACTGCCACAACAACCACATGCAGCAATGTAATTTGGTATTTTAGGTTTTCTAGGTATTTTTGGAATTCTCTTAGGTCTATTAATAAAAATAGATTGTGGTTGTTGTGGTACATTTACAAGAAAGTATGGCTGTGGTTGATTCACATATTGATAAGGCTAAGGATATGGAAAGTTAAAATAAATAGGATTTTGACATTTGACAAATAATAATAATAAAAATAATAATAATAATATATTTATTAAATTCATTTAAAAAGTTAATAAGTTTTGATTCTATAATATAAATTGAGGAATTTTTTTCGTTTCTAATCCGTATTCTTTTCTAAATTTTTCTACACCTCTTTTTATTTGATTATAATGTCGAACTGAAAGACAAACACCCATATTTCTACCACCTCTAATATAAGTAATACAATTTCTTTTCGAATGACCAATTTCTCCACAACAACTACATAACATCATATTTGATTTTGGATTATCAAAATATTTTTTTACAGATTTTATAATACCTTCTGGATTATCTAAATAATTTCTAGATACAGGACATGGGTTATTTCTTTTAGGATTGTGTCTATGACCCATATCACCACATTCACTACAGGTTTTTCCTAAATGAGGATGCATTTTAATTATTCTATGTGTTGACCAAGGTACTTCCCAATCTTTTGATTTAGTATTTTTATTTTGATTAAACAAAGTTAATCCTCTTTGAGGTACGAGAGCATTATTTTGCCAAGGTATGAGAGCATTATTGAATGAGTTCATATTTTGTTGATTTACAAAAGGTATTAATGCAAATCTATCTGGACATGACTTTTTGTTATGACCTCTTCTACCACATATTCCACATTTTGCATCAGATTCAAATATTAACAAATTTATTAAGAATAGTATTAATAAAAATTTCCAAAGTTTTTTCCTGGACATCTTTTGTTAGGTGCGATATGAGATCTACTTCCACAGATTCCGCAATGACGAACTTTTTGATTATATTGATAATTTGAACAAGGTTTTTTTTTGCATGAAACAGCGTTATGTCCTTGTAAACCACAATATCCACAAGCACAAAATGAGTTATTTATTAATATGGATAAAAATAATAATAATGATAACAAATATATGAATTTCATGATTGAAAGAGAATAAAATAAGGGTTGTTTAAATATTTTATACTATTTTATCCTTTATCAAATAAACTATTTTTTTAAATTCATTGTTGAAAAATAAATCCATTTTATCCTTTTCGTTTTTTTCATCTTCTCTTTTTTTACGTGTTTTTTTACTTTCATGCATGTAAACATCAGAGATTAATTTCATGGAATTATACATTTCTTCTTCGTCATTTATTATTCTAGTGTTGTTTATAATTTTTTTACGATTTACTATTCTAGTTTTTTTAACGAAAAAATTTCTACACGTAAACTCTAAGAAATTATGTAAATTATTTTTTATGTTTTCATTATTGATATTTTTTTTTATATGTTTTTCCCATGAATCAAATTGTTGTTTAATGTTTAATCTTTTTCTTTTCATCTTCTGAATTTTGAATTTCTAGAAGTTACTTTTATTTCTGTAGGATATTTAGTGGTCTTTGTATGATATTCAATGATTTTTAAACCTTCGACTAAACTTTTAGGTTCCTCATCTATATTTAAATTTTCAAATATTCCTTTCAGGAAAATAATTGATTCTTCGATTATTTCTTCAAATGTGTTATTTTGTTCTATCAGATTATTTGTGTTTTGATTTATTTTCTCATATTTTTTTGTGTTGGATGTATTTTTCTTTATTAATGCAGAAAAATCTCTATGTAAACTATTGAATACTCCAGATTTTTTGTAATTTTTAGTATATTCTAACCATTTTTTGATTTCCTTTATACGATCTGAAGATAAGAAATCTTCTGATTGAATATCATCATCGGTGGAAGAATCCATCTAAAATATCTTTTCTAAATTCTTGTAAAATCTTGGTTTTATATCCGTATTTTGTGAGGAATTCATCATTTAATATTTTAATTTCATTATCAAAATGTTTATTATCTTTGAATAATGCAAGATTATCTTTTTCTTTTCTCAAAGAGTTTAAGAGACATTCGTAATATTTTTCATTGTATTCGATAAATTTTGTTTCTATTTTTTTCTTAGTATCAATTACTTTTTTGTTATTAATAAATTTTTCACTATAATCTAATGAAATATCATCATTTAATTTATAGTTAAGATATTTTTTATAATTTTTATAGTTTGAGATTATGAATTTATTTGTAATGATTAATTTTTTCCAATTTTTTTCATTTTCTAATATTTTGTTATTTTTTGATTCAAAATTTTTGGATTTTAAAACATAATCGTTAATTGCATCTTCTAATTCATGATCTATGAATTTTTTAAATATTGTTTTTAAATTACGATCTTT